CCAAGAACTCCAATTACATCACTAATCGATATGTGTAACGAGCCCCCAAACCTTTTTTGGAGCTATTTTCAAAAAGTGTATAGCTCATTGTCAGTGGTCTGAGTGTATGTATCTTGGTGGCTTTGTGTGTTCGGATGTGTGTTGCAGGGACCAATAAGTTTGAAGGCACAATCGACTCCCGATAACTCGAACCTTCAAGGGAAATCGAAAAAAGGTTCGAGTTATCGAGAGTTCGAAGAAAATAGCCGAGAGTAAAAGATACTTCTAGATTATAAATCAGAACGTAACGTAACAAAACATAGCCTAAATAGACCATGCGTTTAACTGTTTTGAGAAGAAAAGCTGCTTCACGGTAGCCTGTGACAATCAACATGAGCCTCCACTAGTAAACTGTACTCCTACAACACGTCAATAGGAAATCCAAAATTCAATATTTCGGACGCCCGTAGACGGCGGTTTTCCCGGCTTTTTAAGGGCTCAAAACATGGTTCGAGTTATCGAGGGTAAAATTATATAGAAAATGACCTGAGGGGAAACGAAAATTGGTTCGAGTTAGCGGGAGTTCGAGTTACCGAGGGTAAAATTACAGTGAATGTATGACGGAAATCCAGGAGAAATCGATTTTGGTTCGAGTTAGCGCGAGGTTCGAGTTATCGGGAGTCGACTGTACTATGAGTTGATGCTAGGAACCAATGAGATTTTGGCATCTAAACATGACATTGCTAAAGGTCAAACGACGACACTTTGCGACCGCCATATTGGTTCTTCAAAATTTTTTCGTCGTTTGTTACGGCTAAAGATGTCTAAAAGTATAACATTTAAATATCTTCATGATTCAAACACTGAGTACAGTGATGCAGCTGCTTAACGGTTCATATTTTAGTCAGCGTGGCTGCCGGTTCAAGACCTTTATGACCTAATTCGGCTATCGCGAACTGTACAACGTATGTATTTCACAACTTATGAGTATGTTTCACCTGCTTGAAGTGTAAAAAACATATATTTTCAAAGGTCTGGAAGTGACAGGTTAATAATTGATATTGACTTTAACTCGGAAGTATGCAGTGTATTTGTGTTTTTTGAAGTTTAAAATAGAGCTCAGTCTGTGATTCTTTTTTACCGGTATACCGAGTAAATTCGTTCCGTAAACATGCTTTATTCTCTCGCGTACAAAGTTCAACGGAACTTTAACGTTCCGGCAAATTATGTGCACATGCTTGCTGCTTAACAGTCATAAAAGTGATTAAAACGTACTTAGTCTAACCAGTGGCTAAGTAAAGATGCGTAACTTTTGTTGAAACAATAGCGTTAGCGAATAAACTTGGAAGTCGCCCGTTGAGAAAATATCAAGGAAACTGCTTCATTGAGTGAAATAACATGAGATGATTAGAAATCGGTATTTCGGCAATAGGTTCTTTGCTTTAGTTGATCACGAGAGCAACTTTTTCCTTAAGCACTACGGGGCTAAAATCTCCGTTTAATTCATAACAGGTAATTTGAGCTCTTAAATGTGTAAGGGAAAGATTTAACGACAGTTCAAAATTCAGAATTTACAATAATTTGTATCGAAAACCACTCAAGCGTGACTGGGTGGCAAGAGTTGTTTTTTCTCATACAAATCCTTCTCATTTTCGGCGGCCGTTGCAATCGCTACTTTTGAGATATGTGGCTAAAACATAACAGATTACCCAATTTTTGGAGATATCTGAAGGAAAGACAGAGAAAAATGAATATATAGCATGAGGATCGACTCAGCTAAGCGTTTCGAGTTTTCCTTTATTTACAGCAATACCAATTTCGCACAAAAAGAGTCTATATTTAGGATGAAATGGGTAGATTCTACGTACGGTCACACTGAAGCATTCAAGATAGCTCGTGCTCGTTAAACGTGCCTATGTTTCCAACCGACTCTAATCGATCAGAAAAGCCCTCCCTAAACAGACTTCCCTTTCTACTATTTGCCCTGAATAAGCTGTCCCACTTCATTATTTGTCTATTTTCCACGTATGAAATCAAGTATCATAAATTCCCTGCGAGTGAGACCCGGATCTCCCAAGAAAAAGCACCTCAACCATTTTATCTGCCAAAAACAAAAACTTTTTTATGAAAATTCCTTTTTAAACGCGGGACGTGTGACGCATCCTGACTGGATGGTCGCCCTTTTTTCTTGTAACTTTTGCGTTTAAAGAAAAAAAAATAAGACCACCGGCAGGGCCATGAAAAAACGCCAGGCTGTACAAAAATGTAAGCGTTAAACTTGAAAATGTCGACAGAGGTCAAGTTTGTTCATCGTTTTCCTTCCATTCCCCATCGCCAGAGGGATATGATTCAAAAGTGCAGGGATCGAGGACACATTTGTTAAAGATCGCTTCGTATCTCTTAAATTGAGGGCGTGTATAAAAATCATAAGTGGAGACATCTCGATGAATGTGACTGCTTTTCACCACTGGGATTTCTCTGGGTTCTTCTCGCGGACTTTTCGCCTCATCTAGGACATTTATTTTCATGACTTCGTTATTCAGTTGAGACTGTCCTTCCCTGTTAAGGCTAAACCATCTCACCTTGCACTCAACCTTTCCGTCTCTGATAACATAGCCATGTGACCTGCCACCACGAACTCAACAATGACATCGCCGTTAAGCTCATCCTTCATCTCAGCAAGATAACACCCCGTTTTGATCTGTGGTTTACCAGGATATCATTTATAAATGATGGAGTCCGTGTTGAAATGCAGCATTACATTGCCCAACCACTCGAGGGACTCGTAGAGATAAAGTCGAGCCCTGCAGGTGGTGAAGCACACCACGAAAATATTTAGGTCACGTGACGAACATCTCTTTTCTCATCGTTAAGGAGGGTCGACAAACTCGTGTTCTTGGTTTGCTGTTAAAATTTTCCCCAGAATTAATTTAACATAAGTTTGGCGAAGGAGCGTAATCCCGGAATTTTTTTTCAATGCGCTCTGGACGGAGCGGGATGTCTTCTCGCTTTAAATAATCTTGGATGTACTGGCATCGTTTCTCTTCGTCCTCTCCAGCGTTTTTGGGCCACCCATCTGCTTCCTGCTTGACGCGTAGGCGCATGCATTATCGATGTAATCGCGAATAAGGTAGTTGATGTTTGCGGGAGGTTCCACACCTCGTAGGCATGGCTAATGCGATAGCCCATCTCGACGGCTTTTTCAACTTCTGGCTTGCACCAGGTACCCACCAACTCCCTTTCATCATCGCTTTTATTATGTTTTGCACAGGTCATGCATAGGGGTAAGGGAAGCTTTTCGTCATGTCGAACGGAAACGGCCGGATGATACAACTATCTGGGTGGTAAGATGATGCATTTCACAAATCCAAAGTATTAGGGGAGGCTGGAAGGTTTAATATCGAGTAAAATTTGGGAAGACTGGCCGGATAGGGGTTTGTACTTATCCACAAAATGATAAAGTGAAGTGACGTCCATGCACCTAATTTCTTCACCATCCGTCAGTTCGGCCTCTTTGATTAACTTCACGGCGTTGTCCTCCCTCCGAAAAAGGCTTCTCTGGGATTCAAGGGTTCTGTGAATTACAATCCATTGCAAAAGGTAGCAACAGCTTTCTCCTCTGCTTTCCGTCTTGCTCATTACATTGCCACTGCGCGACAACATTGTAGCTCCTCACGTCTCTTCACAAAGCTATCTTCTTTTGGGTGTTGTTGTACACGTCCTGCATGGTTAGACCGAGGTGGCGCGGATGTTCTGCCATTCTGGTTGGAAAACAACCAGGGCAGCCATACGAAAAACACCCTTCAAATTCGCACACGGTGTTCTTGATCGGGTCTTATCCGTCGACGGTGTAGCTGCTTTCGGGGATCTTGTACTCTCCCTTATTCCCTGAATGCCTCATATAATGATGGTCTCTTTCTTTCTCCGTTATGTTTTCGACAGCATCCAAAAGCTGTCGGTTATGCCACTGAAGCCACCAATCGAGCCCGATTGCGTTCGATACGCAACCCAAGCAACGGTTTACTGGCCACGGTGATCTCTTGCATGTGAGTAGTATAAGACGGCAGTATGGTGCATTTTCCCCTTTCTATCAGGTCTCACGCTAGAGGTAACACATTACGAGAAATGTCAGCATCGGAATTGAGTCCCTGGTGGATGAACGCCCCTTCTCTTTAAACATTTTGAAAACTGTCCAGGGCTTTTTGATCGATTAGTTGATCAGCCAATTAGAAAACAGGATTGGGGACACCTAACCGGTTGGATGGAGTATCAAAGAGAGGATTGGTTGACTCTTTAGGAAATACTGCCGACCTCTTGGAAGTGTCGATCACAAAAATAATTAAAACGTTGAATAACAATTCGAACGCTCTTTAATAACTGCGTATATTAAACTATCATTATAAACAACATCTTCATTATTGCAGCTACGTCTCTCCACTCCCGTAAAATCCTTTGGCATTCTTTCTTTAAATGGTTGGGAATGCTGTAATTACTTCATTGTTTTTGAGGTCATATATGACACTCACTGTATGACACGGAGCTTACCAACGTCCATGAATTCGAACTTGTGCCGAAAAGGTCTTCTGTCTGCATGACTCCGCGTTTTCTGTGCCTTCTATGTTGAAATGACTTATCCGGTCTGTTCATTGTATCTTGAACAAATTTCTTAAATACACAACTCATGTCATCGGAAATAAAGAAACTTTTTTTGGCAGATGGCTGCCTTTCATATGGTTTTCTGAAATATGCTCCAGGACATTTGTCTCCTCGCGGTAAACATCCTCTTCATGCTTCTGAGCACCTGAACTGGGGACACCTAACCGGTTGGATGTAGTATAAAAGAGAGGATTGGTTGACTCTTTAGGAGACAAAAATTTGACCGTATACTGCCGACCTCTTGGAAGTGGTCGATCACAAAAATAATTAAAACGTTGAATAACAATTCGAAAGCTCTATAAACAACATCTTCATTATTGCAGCTACGTCTCTCTACTCCCGTAAAATCCTTTGGCATTATTTCTTTAAATGGTTGGGAATGCTGTTATTATGTCATTGTTATTGATGTCATATATGACAGTCACTGTATGACACGGAACTTTCAAACGTCCATGAATTCCAATTTGCATCGAAAAGGTCTTTTGTCTGACTCCGCGTTTTCTGTGCTTTCTATGTTGAAATGACTTATCCGGTCTGTTCATTGTATCTTGAACAAATGTCTCAAAAACATAACTCATGTCATCTGAAATAAAATAACTTTTTCCAGGTAGATGGCTGCCTTTCATGTGGTTTTCTGAAATATGCTCCAGGACATTTGTCTCCTGGCGGTAAACATTCTCTTCATCATGCTTCTGAGCACCTGAATGATGCTTGTCACTTGGATTTTTTCGCTGGCATAAGCCAACATCACCTTCCTCCATCTTGCTGAAACTGAAGGATTTGTCACCAGACAGCTACTAATAATATCTCAGTATGCTCCGCCCTCTTTACGTGGCAACTAGTTATTGGTCAATTCGTATAAAGAATGCTGTGATTGGGCACTCTCGAAAGATTGGCAGGATACTGTCAAATTTTCAACCAGTAGGAAAGAAGGGTTTTTGTTTTCACTTTAAGTTATTTTTAGCGCCTAGGCAGTCAACCAATCGCCTCCTTTATACTCCATCGCACTGGTAACATGTCCCCAATCCTGTTTTCTAATTGGCTGATCAACTACATTAGATCAAAATAGCCCTGGACAGCCTCAAATATTTTTAAAAAAGAAATGGGCGTCCGTCCACCGGGGACTAACTTCCGATACTCTCCCTTATTCCCTGCGCGCTGGACGCGTTCGTTAAACAGAGAAAGTTTGCAAATTGGCACGTTTAACGTGCTTGAGCAACTTTGAATGCTTCATTGTAACCGTACCAAGAATCTACCCTTTTCATCCTAAATATAGACTGGTGTTTTGTGCGAAATTGAGTCTTGCAGTACATGAATGAAAACGTGAAACGCTCAGCTGAGTCGATCCTCATGCTATATGCTCACTTTACGCTGTCTTTATCTCAGACATCTGGTGCAAGTTTAACAAATTGTTAAAGTACAATAAAAATCAACTCACCAAACGTTGCTTCAAAGGTTTCCTCGGAGTTTCCTTAAGAAAATGCGGCTCATCTAATACCGAATATTTAAGAAATATCACGATTTTTATCATTGTGGTAGATGGTTGCATCATCATAATTCACAAGGCTTTCACGTGCGACTGTACTCGATGAAACAGTACAACTCTGACGACTTAATTCTTCAAGTTTTAAAAGCTACTGCTTCTTAAAAGACAGGAGCCTTTACTTAAGGCATTGGTTAAAAAACTAAACAGGTCTTCATACGTTCAAATTACTGTTACTACTTTGAACCAGTCTGCATGGGATGTACGGTCACACAGCAGGCACGTGAAAGTGTTGGACTTTGCCCCCTTTCGTGGTTTGTACGTGAGGGAATTCGAGTTATCACCCAGTAATCTAGTAAACAGTATTATAAAAATAACTCATGCACACAATTTCCACGTGAGAGCTTTGCCCCTTTTACAATTTGTAAGTGAAATGACGCATATTGTTTACGAGATTAATTTCCTCAAACGATTAAAACAAATCACCTCCTTTTTTAAAATCTGCAATAAAATTGTGCATCATTCAACGTTGAGATTGATACCCTAACATAGTTATTTTACTTCCGACAAAATTGTCAAATTGCCGAAATGCTGATTTCTACTCATCTCTTATTATTCCACTCAATGAAACAATCTCTAATTATTTCGTCAACTGGCTACTTCCAAGTTTATTCAAACAAACAAACGTTACGCATCTTTACTTAGCCAATGGGTACAATAATTACGTTTTTATTACTTTTAAAACAGCAAGTATTTATCAAATGTGGTTGCACTTAAGTTGCCGGAACGTAAATGTAACGGTCTGTTTGTGCAAGAAAGAATAAAGCACGTTTGGGAATTAATTTACGCGGTACAGCTTTAAAGAAATCAGCTCTCGTTCAAACTTCTCAAAAAACACAATTACGCTGCATACTTGCTAGCTAAAGTCAATACCTAAAGATCAATTATTTGATAAATATGAGTTTTTATACCTCACCTTGAAGCATGCATGAAATACGTACCTTGTACTGTTTGCGTTAGCTGTAATAAAAGACGAAGAAATTGCGAAGATCTAAGATGGCTGTCTCAGTTCCCTTGTTTGACCTTAAGAAATATCATGTTTAGTCGATGCCAAAATTTCCTTGTTTCCTAGCATCAACTCAGTACCTCCAACCTTACTGGCCCATCACCCTGTAACGCACATACTGAACACACAAAGCCACAAAGATACTCACCAGACATACGCTCAGGCCACTGACATATCAGCTATTATTTCAAAATAGCTCAACAATGCTTCATATCGTGATGTTTTCTTTCTCCGTTGTTTTCGACTGCCTCCAAAAGGTGTCGGTTACACCACTGAAGTCTTTCGAAGCCTTTTCGATTCGAGACTGATTGAATCCATGAACGGTGAGGGTAAAAGGCGGAATGAATTTGTGGAGTGGCATGTGGCATGGCTTGCGGAATTTAATTTATAGAAAATGGCGGGAAAAAAAATTCAACAGGAAAGCACGCGCGCGTCTCTGCCGCCCTATTTTTGGCGCCAATTTGAGCGAGCAATCGATTTGCTGGTCTATTTATTACTGCTATTAAAGCAAGGCTAAATGAAACACAGCTGATACACGAATACTGGATAAATCATCCATAACTCGTTTCCAAAATAAACTGAAACGGTTCTTTACTCACGTCTCTTTTCCAGTGAAGCGCATTGAAAGTACGAAAACATGTCAAGTCTAAACAATCTTCTATTGATTTTTTACTCTCCTCATTACATAGAAAAACGTCGTAACGGGGGACGAGGTAAAATAAAAAGGAAGAGAGAGGACCCTGATATCGAGGCTGTTAGGAAATGGCAGAGTCCGTAGTCCTAGATGAAAGCCTCGTCAAATACGTGCAGACGTACTGTGCCACAAATCTGTTTTTGGTTTTAAGGGGTATATAACCTGTGCTACTCAAATCAAGAGTCACTCTTTATGGCAACGCTGGAGGGTAAAAAACGCCCGCTGAACGTGGAGTCGGGCTAGCAACAATTCTAGGGATTTTAAATACGCCGGTGAAGGAATCAGATCAAATTCGAGACTAACTTAACGAAAGGTAAAGGAGAAAAATGCTAAAAGTAGGAAGGAAAAGAAAAAGAAAAGGAAGAAAGAAAGACAAAAAACACACAAACTCGATTGCCAAAAAAGGGCGCAATATTCAGTTTTATTTATTTCTTTAAGTCATTCTGCATATATTACGTCCCGCATAATTATGTCATTCCGCAAACTCATTCCCCCTTTTGCCCTCACTGACCCATGAAGCGGTTCACTGGCCAAGGTGCTTTCTTGCATGCGATTCCGGTAATAAAAGCGGGTAATAGATTCGAAAGAAAAAAAATGATCTACACAAAAAGTTTAACGGACAAATTTAGGTGTTTCAGATTCGATTCCAAATAAAGTAATTAGCATACGGAATACTAAACAGTCTATTTCGGTAAATATATTGAAGAAAAAGATCAAACAGTTTTTATTATCAGAATAACTAATCAAACCTTAGTTCTAGATTGCTATTTTTGTCTCGTATTCCTTCTACAACAACTGAACATCCGAGGCGCAATAGGCAAATAATTCTTTTAAAAAGTTAAATTCATACTTTACCGCTCCATGCTTGTCATGCCATGTTACAAATTTGTTTCGGGGATCAATAGACACGCTGTCCGGCATGAAGTAGTAAGGAAACTATTGACGGGATACGCCCTCTCTCCCGCCATCAATCCTCCTCGTCTGCGAGCGCTTTGCGAAAAAACGAGTCTTTTGTAAACAAAAATAAGCGCATGAATAGCAAAACTGAAAAACAATTCAAGTTGTACGCATGCGTTCGTAGATTGTTTAGATAAATAAACAGCGGAACTACAAAAGGAACAGAGGGAAATGGCAAGAACAGAAAATGGAAGAAGAATATCGTTAAACGGAAACGGTAACTTACACCCGCTGGCGGCCAATTGGGTAGCCACACCATAAGCCACACATGTTCCATCACGAGTCATTCACTGCCTCTTTAACCAGCGGCTTTTTTGTAGGCGTCATCCAGACTTGCACCTCGTAGCTTTTGATCGCGTCTTACCGATCTCTCGAAAGAGAACTGCACGAAAAGAGGCTACTCGAGAAGATGCCAGTCTTTTTTTGACCACCTTAGCTGTAGCGCTAGGCTTTAGACACGAGTAAGAACATGTGGTGCGGTCGATGACGTGGACACCCTAGCCCCTACCCAAGAAAGTAAATGAAAAAAACAAAACAAAACAAAACAAAACGAGAATGTTTAAAACTCACCATGGAACTTTACTTTTATCATTTGCTGGCAGAAAAACGATGTTTAGGTTGTGGAGTCTTTATTGGCTTGAAAAATCTGTTGATACCGTTGATAAGAGTATGTTGCTTCTAAAAATGTTTTTTTCGGAGCTCAGTGACTAGAGAGCATATAAGGGTGCGTTCCTTTCGGCGAATCCAAAAACGGATTTTTGATCCTAGATTTGCTGGATTTCGCGGTCGAAAGGAACGTGAAATCCGAAATTGGATTTGTAACCTTTCGCAAACTGATTGCAGTATGCACGACAGCCTCTCAAGAAATGACGTGTTTTCTACTGTTTGTCAAATTATGCGATTATACAGTGCAGATTTTCTGGTCGGCAGTTCGAATAGCGACGATGGAACATAAACAGGTCAAGAAAGAAGCGCGTTAAAGGTGAAAATTACCTAAAGATTGTTGGCTCAGTTTGATCGAGTTTCGTAGCTCGGATTTTTCATGTCACGCGATCAACTACCTATCGCGTTTACAAGCGATTTTGTAGAAAGATAGCAGTTCATTTGACCCTTTCACTTATTTGCGTTGTTAAGCAATCTTCAGCGACAAATGGTTATTACATGGATATTTTACTGTACCAGGAACAATCTTCCAGCAACTAGGAAACTCTACGGGAATATCGCTGGATCATGTGACTAATTTCGGATCCACTGTGAATGGAATAGCGTAGTTGCGTAGATCACTAATCAGTTAATCTGGATTTGGATTCTTCGCATTTCAAATCCAATGAATCCTTTTTCAAAAAGGATTCACGAGATCAAAACTCTGGATTTGGATTTGTCGAAAGGAAGACACCTTAGATTCTGAGAGGAGGGCGAATACGAGTACCAGATTTGCTCAGTGCTATAAAGGAGTGATACAAATAAAAGGGGTTCCTGCGTAGCGTTTGTGTTTGCTAAAAGTGGGAAGGTGGTAAGTTAAACGCTGATAATTGCAAATAAAACTCCGACGTTTCGGCAA